AGCCTAGGACTGGGACTTGAACTCTGCATTTCTGGACTGTCCTGCCTAATTTGGGATGGGTGGTAACCCTACACCCAGCTCATAATGGTACAGTTTAATACAGCTAAATTCAGGGGCATAACTGTTGGAACAAAGAATCGTGGTCAAAGTTATGGGATGGGGGTCTGCATTCTGGGAAATAGTGACTCTGGAAAAGGAGGCAGGCTGGAAATCATCTAAACATAGATTAATAGATTATAAAGACAGAGGGGACCATTGAAAACATCTAGTCTGCCTGCCTGTGTAACACAAGTCATGGGTTTTTCCTGAATTTCTGTTTGAACTAAAGTGTATCTTTTAGGAAAACATCCAATCCTGATTTTAAAATTTCCAGTGATGGAGACTGCATCACTGCCCTTGGTAAATTGTTCCAGTGATGAATTACTCTCACTGTTAAAAAATTGCATCTTATTCCTAGTCTGAATTTATCCAGCTTCAACTTCCAGTCATTGGATCTTGTTACACCTTTGTTTGCTAGATTGAAAAGCTCTCTGTTACCGAATTTCTGAGTTCTCAACATGCTGTTGTAGCCAAGAGGGCTCACGGAATCTTTGGATGTATAAACAGGGGCATTCTGAATAGGAGCAGGGAGGTGATATGGCTTCTGTATTTGGCATTAGTGAGATCAGCACTGGAATACTATGTCCAATTCTGGTGTCCACACTTGTAAAAGGATTTTGAAAAATGGGAGATGGTTCAGAGTGCAACTACAAGCATGTTTAAAGGACGGGAAAACGTGATTTATAGTGAGACATTTAAGGAGCCGGATCTATTCAGCTTATCAAAAAGAAGGTTAAGAGGTGATTTGATGGCGGTCTACAAGTACCTACAGAGGGAGACAAAATCTGGTACTAGAGGGGTCTTTAATCTAGCAGAGAAGACATAACAAGATCCAGTGGTTGGAAGCTGAAGCTAAAAATATTCAGATTGGAAATAAAACACATATTAATAGTGAGGGTGATTAACCCTGGGAACAACTTCCCAAGGAAGACGGTGGATTCTGCATCTTTAAAATCTTTAAATCAGGACTAGATATCTGCTCTTGTTCAACTACAAGTTATCAGGCTTAACACATAAACTACTAGATGCAGTTCTTTGGCCTGTGTCTGCAAGAGATCAACTAGTTGATCATAATAATTTCTTCTGCTTTAAAAACATATGAGTCTATGAATCAGTAATAGAGTCTGAACTCGAGACTGGCAGCCACTCCACCTTCTCCTGTGATCCCAAATCTGAACAGGACGGGGCTTGATTGCGATTTGAATGGAAAAAAACCTCCTAAGTACGGCTGCTACTCTGAAACACTGCAGGAAGTGGTGCCGGTGACATAGTAGGGGCCACTTTTCCCTCTGCATCAATATTGAACCAGTAATTCTGCTCCTGGAGGTGCTGCTTTTCCAGTTAAAAGTAAATTCTGTGAGGTCTTGACCATTTGTGGTCTTAAGGAGCCTCTGGGGCTTTTTGCAAGTGTAGAGGTGTTAACCTTCATATCTTGGCAAATTCCATCACCAGTAATTATATTTAGTCTTTTTGAATTTCCCTTTCAGTTTAAATCAAATTAAGTGTTGTTCTTCGTTTCCTCTCCCAAACCGCTGTGCAGCGTTACTCTACATTGTTAATCATGTGCTGGTTTCCACACCAGCGGTGGTTTCCCTGAAAGGGCTGAATGAAACAATCCCTCTGTATTTCTCATCTAAGTCCCACATTGCTGTGTAGCTTAGTTAAATTGTTGTTCCTAAAGTGCTGTGTGATCCTCAGATGAGAAAGGTGCTGCAGAAGTATCAATACAATATTTTATCATGAAAATTCGATATGGTAACATGTCATTGCTAGGTAGAGTATAAGAACATACAAAACATCCTCGAGTGTAATAAAGAGAAATATCCAGCAAGAATTTCATGGCCTGAATCCTGATGACACAGAATAACAGGCAGGCATTCTGGGATTGATGCTGGGGATCTTTGAAGTCAATGGCAGAACTCCCATTGTCTTCCCAGGATGAGATCCCATTTTGAGCACCTTTACCTTCTCTGCGGCCTGTGACTCCTTCTGTCTGTCTGAGCTGATTGTCATAGGCTGCAGCTATTGCTTTGCTGAATAAGTGTATCTGGAAGGTCAGAGGTAGCTCTAATTGCTGGCCTGAGGCAGAGGCAACCAGGCAGAGATACAGACAAAATTCCCAACAGAGCTCAAATGTTCTTGTCATTCTCCATATGGGGATGGATTTTTAACATTCCTAAAAGGCCACCACACATTTCTAAAGTTTTATTACATGCTGTGGATCACTGTGTAGATTTGCAGGCTCTGGGATGGAGAGATCAGTGTGTGATTAGGTGGTGGATCATCCAGCTAAACACTCCATGATCTCAGACAGTGACATGCAACAGTCTTGCCTCTCAGTGACTGGAAACCTGATAGAAGATATCAACTACCAAAAGCATTTGGGAATTCTCCCTAGTTCAGCTGGCAGAGATGCTGCTTTGGCATTTGAGTACCTGTTCTGAAATCCTAGCAAGGGTATAATCCTCATGCAACATGAAGATAAATCCATAGCATCTAATATTGCAACATATTTTCAGGGGGCTGCTGAAAGAACCCAGGTGTGTGGAACTTGCTTTTGTCCACATTAAATCAAATTCTCCCTTTCATTTAATTCACATGATTCTTGGTAAATCTTTCACAGGACCATCTGGAGCTACACAGATGACAGCACTGTCTATTAGTTATAGCAGTCAGCTACTAGTCAGGACTATTAAGCTTAGCTCTATTAAGGTACATATAAAGCATCCATTACTGTAGTGTCTGAACTCCTCATAATCTTTATTGCATATATCTTCACAACACCTCTAACGGAGGAAAGAGACACAGGGACTAAGTATCATACCTAAGGTGACACAAAAGGTCTGTGTCAGAGAAAGTAATTGAACACAGGTCTACCGAGCCTGAAGTTAACATGCAAACCACTGGACCATCCTGCCTCACTTATGTGGGGTGTGACCTTGGACAAAAACTTGACAAAGTTAATTAATTCAAGTTTGTTAATCTCCTTGAGATCTTTGGTTTAAAGGCACTATAGATGGTCAAAGTATTACTAATTATTAAATATTATTATTCCCAGTTCCCTACCATTTGATACAGAATAACAATAATGTAGTCTTCTCCCATAATCTTTTAAACTGTATTTTATTAAGTTCGTCCAAAGCAGTTTCACTCAAATGTATCACACTCACTGGTAGAGATTAAAAATGGGAATGCCCATACATACAGGATCAGATCTGTGGACATCTGGTCCAGTATTCAGTCTGATAGTGGCCAGCACTAAATGTGGGATAATCTGCCCCCCACATTAGGTCTCATCTTGATTTTTAGCAGCTAAAGCTTGGACTAAAACCTGAAGTCTGAGGATTACTCTGGGTATTCTTGATATCCATATAAAAGTCAAGTTCCTGTTTGAATCTTGCTAAATTCTTGGCTTGCACAATTTCCTTGGCAATGAGTTCCACAGTCTAACTATGCATTGTGTGAAAACTATCAGAAAAATGTGTACTGGGAACTTGTATTAGTTCTCTACCTAGGTACTTACATAGCCCCCATCTGAGCATATTAGATTAGATTTATGCAGCATCAAATGAAGTCTAATCTAGTGTCCAATGGAGACCAGGGCATAGAGGAGGAACATCTGGTTGAGATTCTCTCATGACTGGGATACTGTAATGAGGTCTGCACTGACAAATCCCTGCACCAACAGGGTGCTGCATGGACACAGAGGTTTCCAACATAGAGTTCACTGCAGGATCATGGCCTAAATAAAGGACCTGGATTGTCTGGTCTGCTAAATTCACTTTTCACTGTGAACACAGCACAAAGTGGAGTGAAAGCAGCTGGAGAGAACCAGTGAAGAATTCCCCTCCTGCAGGGGAACTCACTGCTGGCAAAAAGCTGGGGAAGATGGTTCTGTTGCCTCTTGTGACAGCCTCCCCAGCACAGTAGGGAAGGGAAGGGTGGCAGCGGCTCTTGTTCCAGGGCTAGGGGGCCAGCTCTTGTTCCAGGGCCAGGGAGCAGCAACTGGCTGTAAGTGAGTGGAAAATCGGGCCCTTTATCCTTCAGATGGAGCATGATTTGAAACCACAGTACAAATCACTGACTGTACAGGTTAATTATTTTTTAATCTTTGTATCCTGTAAGGTGGCCAAGACAAAGAACATGTTTTCTTTTAATATTTGTGAGCCTGTTCAACTCTCTAGACAAATTGCACAGGAACTTTGTCCTTGCAACATGTAACTTTGTTTCTCGCTCTGGTTTTGCAAAATAGCGTCACTTACCTTGTAAATTAAAGTGAGCCCTGTGGCATCACTCATCGTGATTTCCCGACCCCCAGAGGAAAATGAGTTCCTCGGAAACAGGTGTATTCCCTCAACTGCTTTCAAACGTGTGTTAAACCAGAAAAAGGCACTTTCATTCCCTAATAAGAATGTCCACACAGGGCTTTACCCGGATGTAACTAGAGAGGTGTAACTGTAGTGACATAGCTGTGCCGGAACATTTCCCCGTGTAGGTGAGCCCACAGAAAGAATGGAAATGATTTCGAATTTCCTTTGGGTGACACAGAGCAGGGAAGCCTGTGACCCCAGGTGAGTTCAGCTGCCCCCTGAGGACAATCAGCAGGCTCTGTAATAATTTCGGAGGAGGAAATGAATCACTTGGGAGAAATGAATCATAAAAATACCCCCTTGCTTAAGACAGCATGATTCTTTTCCCTTCAGCAGAGAAGTTCACTTCTCTATATATGGGGGAGGCGCAGAAGGTGCGGGAATGGGGGGTGGGTTTCAAGGTGCAGTGTTCCTTTAAGAGTCGAATGGAATGTATCAAAACAAAAAGGCTGCTCGGGCATTGGCTGGGAGGTCAGCACGTGAGTTCACAGCTGATTTCCTGGCTTTTTTTTTTTTTTTTTTTTTTTTTGGTGTGTGTGTTGCCGTGTGTCAGTTTCAGCAGGCGCTCACCATGTCTCTCCCCGCCGGTCCTCGTCCTGTCCCTTCCCCCTGCTGACCAGGGAGAGAAGGAGTGAGTCCAGCCCTAGAAGAACGAACGACATCTCTCTGCCCCCGTTAAAAAAAAAAACAACCACCATCACCACCCACCCACCCAGCAGCATGGCACATGCCGCTCAGCTCAATATCCTGGAGCAGAACTGCCCCATCCAGGTGGAGCACGATCGCAAGAGGAGACAATTCACAGTGCGGCTGAATGGTAAGGTTCCGGCTGACCCTGGGATCTCACTTTTCTTTCTTCCCTTTCTCTCGCTGTCCTCCACCCTCACCCCCCACCCCACCAGTTTTCTATCTTTTGTTTGCAAGTAAAGCAAAGAGGCTGGTAACGAGAAGAGTGCCCTCTAGCTAAATCAGGGACTGGCTTTCCTCTCACAGCTAGGGAATTCTCTCTCCTTCTTCCTTTTCCTAAATTGTTTTACAGCAACATCGAGGGTGGTTATGCAACAGATTAGTTTTGGTGTCAACAAAGAGCCACTGAATAGCAAAGAGCGATAGAGGAGGTAAAGGAACATGCCTCAATCTATTCCCCTGCAAGCTCTTCTCTCAGTAACCTTCCATTCCTCTAGCCTGTCTTTGTTACTTTCTGGTAAACTACTGCTCTGTCTGTTCCCCCTCAGGTTGGTAGAGGAACACCTGTCCCTTAAGATCTATTTATAAACATTTTTAGCTGTGCACAGCTGGTTACCTTGTCTGGCCTGAACAAGAGCTCTGTGAATCTCCAAAGCTTGTCTCTTTCCCCGACAGAAGTTGGTCCAATAAAAGATATTCTCTCACCACTTTGTCTCTATTTATAAACAGGCCACTAAGGTTGATACTACCCACTTCTTCCCTTTTCTGTTAACTGCCTTGATTGCCAAGCCCTCCCTATATACTGACTAATCACAGTTTAAAAAAAAATGTAAACTCCCCTCACTGACATATCTAACTAGCCCTGGATCATGTGCTCAAAACTAACAGGAGCAGATAGCAGGTTGTTGGTTAAATTCCTTTTGTTTTTTAGACTGGTGATGGGAAGGCACAGAGTGGAAATAACTGACTTTCTGTAAATTACTCTGAGATGTGAAAGATTATCCACAGCTTTTTGTTTTCAGGACAGGGGAGATAATTTTGATAGGTGCTTACAAAACAACATTTTAAAGCCGGATGGGAACTTTGGAGTGTGACTTCTCTGGCTTTGGTGTGCTCTCAGTGAATTGCACATAATGAACGTGGTAAGAAGCCAGGTTGCAGATTTAAAAAAAGAAGTAATTTCTACCTTGGAGTGTAGAGTTGTAGGGGGAGGAAGAAAACTGTTAGGCCTTAATTCTTTAAACACTTATGCATATACTTAACTTGGCTGCTGTGAGCAGTTTCATTGATTGAGCGGGACTACTTGTGGTAGTCAAGTTAAGCACATGTGTAAGTATTTGCAGGATTAGGACCTCAGAGGCTACAAGCTGGCCTATAACATTCAGATAATAGAAATTAAAGCTTGATGTAGCTAAATAAATTTGAAGTCCTCTCCAAGACCCCAATCCTAAAAGTGCAGAGAGCTCTTGGCACGAGGCCAGGGGTGGGGCTGTATCTGATCTGTTTTAGGCCCAATCTGTGACCACTTAGCACAGGAGAAATCCTACTGAAATCAGCAGAACTACTTATGGGCATGTTTGCAAGATCAGAACCTGTTATAGTTAGTAATGCCACAACAATCTGGTTCTAATGTGGACCCTAGTAGCTATCCCTCTTGCTGCATTTGGTTAGCTGTAAGAATGAGAAATAGGCACCCAACAATATCTCCTGTTGTCAGGCAAAGATTTTCTCAGCCTGTTTTAATGGTTAGTTCCAAATGTACAAAGATCCCAAAGGCTGTTTTGTTTTTTGTTTTGTTTAGTTGAGCAAAATAGCCTGTCTTCTGGCTCTACAGAAATTGCAGGGTAGATTGCTTAAAAATGTCAATGGATAGTTCAGAAATTATATGTGCAGTAGGAGGCATTCTCAATAAAATAACAAGAATAGTCCTACATTTTATTCTAGTTTGTCTGTCTGTTTGTTTGTTTGTTTTTTAAACCACTAATTACAAGTGCAGTCTTCAGGCTCAGCAATGGGTGAGCAGGACCGGACACTAAAGGTTGCAAGCTGAGTATGGGGAGATAGAGAAACTGATTAAGCCAAGCGGTCTCTTGGAATTGCAAGAGATCAAAATAAATCCATTGTGATGGGTTCCCACTTGAAACCTGTATGCAGAGTCATAAATTGGTGCCATTGTTTAAAACTTGTTTGCACATGCAAAAAGTGAGGGGAAGGCTATGGGCAGCAGATTATTAGGGATTTAATTTCTCATCAGAGTACTCCAGATTAAAATCTCTGGCAGTCAGGTTGTTGGCAAGTGATCCTCAGCAGCTGGAAAGGGGGCTGGTGGAGAATACACTTCAAACAAACAGAAAACCACCTATTCAAAAATGTAATGTGGATAAGCTAATTTCAGCCTGACACAAAATGAGTCACTTCAGTAAGGGACTGATTTAACTCCTGTGAGGTCAATGAGAATCATTTCAGTGGGAGATGGATTGGGCCCCAATGGTCAGATTTTCAAGAGGTGGGTGTGCTGGCTGTCAGTGCCTCAGTGGTTGCTGCTGAGTATGGGGCATGTGAGAATCTGGCTTGGATTCTTTTGAAAACTTGGTCCTCCATGATTCCAAATGCAACATCTCAGCAATGGTATGGTGAGCTACTCCTATTACTGTTAAGTACTTCTATGCCACCATTCATCTGCACAGTTTAAAACACTGCATAGAAATTTAGTAGTATTGTATCCATTCTGTAGATGGGGAAATGGAAATACAGAGAAATTAGGTGACTCATATAATGAATCAGTGGCTGAGCTGGGAATAAAACCACAAACTTGTCCTAACCATTCAGATATGCTCCATGTTTATTGCTCCAATGTCAATCAATCTATTTTTATTTTCACATCATTATTAGCCATTGGTTTATAAAATCAAAACCTAGAATGCAGTCACAAGATAAATGTCTCTTATTAGGAGAATGTGGCTTGGTGCTTGTTTCCAATAAATCCCTAGCAGTGAGAGACCTTCCATCTGTCCCATTTCTGCTGTGCTTAATCTCAGCGGCACTTTAATGCCCTTGTTTGAATTCTCCCTAACACAGTAAAACCTGCAAACATAGGTGGAGTTCCTGTGAGTTCGAAGGGGTACCCAGATCACAATGCTCTTGTCATATGCAACATCCCCTGGGGGACTAACTTGAAGGGGAAAGGAGTCCAGGAGAGCTGGCTGTATTTCAAGGAATCCCTGTTGAGGTTACAGGGACAAACCATCCCGATGAGTCGAAAGAATAGTAAATATGGCAGGCGACCAGCTTGGCTTAATGGTGAAATCTTAGCGGATCTTAAACATAAAAAAGAAGCTTACAAGAAGTGGAAGGTTGGACATATGACCAGGGAAGAGTATAAAAATATTGCTCGGGCATGTAGGAATGTTATCAAGAGGGCCAAATCGCACCTGGAGCTGCAGCTAGCCAGAGATGTCAAGAGTAACAAGAAGGGTTTCTTCAGGTATGTTGGCAACAAGAAGAAAGCCAAGGAATGTGTGGGCCCCTTACTGAATGAGGGAGGCAAACTAGTGACAGAGGATGTGGAAAAAGCTAATGTACTCAATGCTTTTTTTGCCTCTGTTTTCACTAACAAGGTCAGCTCCCAGACTGCTACACTGGGCATCACAAAATGGGGAAGAGATGGCCAGCCCTCTGTGGAGATAGAGGTGGTTAGGGACTATTTAGAAAAGCTGGACGTGCACAAGTCCATGGGGCCGGACGAGTTGCATCCGAGAGTGCTGAAGGAACTGGCGGCTGTGATTGCAGAGCCATTGGCCATTATCTTTGAAAACTCGTGGCGAACCGGGGAAGTCCCGGATGACTGGAAAAAGGCTAATGTAGTGCCAATCTTTAAAAAAAGGGAAGAAGGAGGATCCTGGGAACTACAGGCCAGTCAGCCTCACTTCAGTCCCTGGAAAAATCATGGAGCAGGTCCTCAAAGAATCAATCCTGAAGCACTTGCATGAGAGGAAAGTGATCAGGAACAGCCAGCATGGATTCACCAAGGGAAGGTCATGCCTGACTAATCTAATCGCCTTTTATGATGAGATTACTGGTTCTGTGGATGAAGGGAAAGCAGTGGATGTATTGTTTCTTGACTTTAGCAAAGCTTTTGACACGGTCTCCCACAGTATTCTTGTCAGCAAGTTAAGGAAGTATGGGCTGGATGAATGCACTACAAGGTGGGTAGAAAGCTGGCTAGATTGTCGGGCTCAACGGGTAGTGATCAATGGCTCCATATCTAGTTGGCAGCCGGTATCAAGTGGAGTACCCCAAGGGTCGGTCCTGGGGCCGGTTTTGTTCAATATCTTCATAAATGATCTGGAGGATGGTGTGGATTGCACTCTCAGCAAATTTGCGGATGATACTAAACTGGGAGGAGTGGTAGATACGCTGGAGGGGAGGGATAGGATACAGAAAGACCTAGACAAATTGGAGGATTGGGCCAAAAGAAATCTGATGAGGTTCAATAAGGATAAGTGCAGGGTCCTGCACTTAGGACGGAAGAACCCAATGCACAGCTACAGACTAGGGACCGAATGTCTAGGCAGCAGTTCTGCGGAAAAGGACCTAGGGGTGACAGTGGACGAGAAGCTGGATATGAGTCAGCAGTGTGCCCTTGTTGCCAAGAAGGCCAATGGCATTTTGGGATGTATAAGTAGGGGCATAGCAAGCAGATCGAGGGACGTGATCGTTCCCCTCTATTCGACATTGGTGAGGCCTCATCTGGAGTACTGTGTCCAGTTTTGGGCCCCACACTTCAAGAAGGATGTGGATAAATTGGAGAGAGTCCAGCGAAGGGCAACAAAAATGATTAGGGGACTGGAACACATGAGTTATGAGGAGAGGCTGAGGGAGCTGGGATTGTTTAGCCTGCAGAAGAGAAGAATGAGGGGGGATTTGATAGCTGCTTTCAACTACCTGAAAGGGGGTTCCAAAGAGGATGGCTCTAGACTGTTCTCAATTGTAGCAGATGACAGAACGAGGAGTAATGGTCTCAAGTTGCAGTGGGGGAGGTTTAGATTGGATATTAGGAAAAACTTTTTCACTAAGAGGGTGGTGAAACACTGGAATGCGTTACCTAGGGAGGTGGTAGAATCTCCTTCC